ACTTATATACTAAAAGCTAATATATTTTCATAAAATTATTAATATACATTCATGTTTATTATACTTCAAATTTCTAAAATGCTATAGAAATTAGTATTTCATCTATTTACAGTTAGTTATTATAACAAGATTATTTTAATAACACAATTAAACAATTTATAATTAAAAACCCGGCGCGTAGCGCCGGAAAACCACTAGTAAAAAAACTAAAGCAAAGAATTTAGAACACAGCTTTAAGTTTTGAAATCCATACGCAAAGGACATTGCAGTTCAAAATAAGCACCAAAGCCATAGCAACCGTTCTGATTTCTCCAAGCATCAAAGTTTGTAACGTTCTAGCTACAAACTTGAGAGAGACGGTGCTTGTGGTGTTGAGCAAACATTGCCAGAGCCCTGATCTACCCATGTTGAGATCAGGTGGTGAGCAATAGCAAATGGCCCCGGGATGAACATAGGAGCGAGCTCACCGCTTTCCAAATTGAAATCTGTTGACAAACTCTGGCTTTTCTCCACACCTTTACAGATTTGCTCTATCTTTGAAGCCGCTGTTCTTTGTGCCTTCCTGTATTCTGCAAACGCCAGCGCTTTCTTCACATCTTCTCTACTGTGCCACTGAGCATCTGCGCAACAAAACGTGATGAATGTTAAGAAACTCTTGGGGATTTTCCGAAAGGAGTTGAAGTTACTCTTACCTTCCAACTCTTCCTTGTCTACGTTTATGTCAAGAGTCTTGGCGAAAGCAAAGAACCCGAGCATCAATTGGCATGGCATGCTACTTGGTCCCACTACAATAAAAGGCAACATTTCAGGCATCCAATGTATTGACACATGGAAACTCATCAAGAGAGTGTATTGACGCTAGTGTAAGTTAGGAAACCACAAAAAAAAAAAAAAAAAATCAAACATATAAACAGAGTACAAGACTAGATATCTTAATCTTCAAAGAAAAAAATAAGGTTGTAATCAATATGAATATAGGTAACCCTCAATTGCTTGACAAGTAACATTGCTAATCAATCTGGCACTACAGGATGAATGCATTGAACATTAGCTAACCATACTCTGTAAACCACAAGCTAGTATGATATAACTAGTACACGAACAACTATATTATAACTAGCCAATTTACCAGGCCAAGGCTGGGAGCTGTGATAAACAACTTCTCCTACTTCAATGCCTGTCTCTTCCCATGTTTCTCGCCTCACAGCCTCTTCTAAACTTTCCCCTGGCTAAGCAAAAAATAGATAACAATAATATACATACAATAGAAATAACTTAGCAGTGAGTGAGAACTTTCATACCTCAATAAATCCAGCTAAACAACTCCACATTCTCGGTACATATCTAGACTGTCTGCTTAAAAGCGCACGATCATTCTCTCGATCAATAACTAACATTATCACCACCTGGTAACAAAAAAAAAAGTCAATCAGCCATAAATTAGTTCTGCAAAGTAACACATACTCTAGAGGATCAATCAATATATACCGGGTCAACCCGAGGATAAACCCGCTTTCCGCAAGCCTCGTTCGAACATTGCTTTCTTCTTCCAGCTTCCTTTGGAACATTTGCACCTCCACAAGACCCACAAAACCGTGACACTCTGTGCCACTCAAGCAACGCCCTAGCCTGTCATTATACAACACATAAATCTCACATAAAAGAAAGAAACTTTAAAAAAAAAAAGAGATCAGCTCACATACATGTCCTGCAATAGCCAATTCATCCATAGCCTTTTGATCCACCCAATCAGCAGCAACCATCAAAGTCCTTAGCTCAACGAAACAAAGCTTCCTACTTTCCAACCCCGAAACGACGCCGTTTTCTTCTCCTTCCTCCTCCAAAGACACATCAACAGCCCAACAAACCAAATCTTCCTCCACCTTAGGTCCTAAATACACAAGCGAGTTCTCGTCCAAATCAACCCCACGGCTCGCTAACATACCCTTGCAATCAGCTAAGCTGATCCATCCCAGATGCCAGATAGGCGACGTGGAGGAGTCTCCTCCACCGTTGGAGAACACTAGAGGGCGGCCTTTGCTGAAAGGAAGGACTTTGAAATCAGGGGAAGGGGTAGTGTGGTTAGGGATAAGTGGGATTAGAGCTTTTAGGGATTTGAGGGCGGAGGAAGGTGAGAGGGTGTCGGTGGATTTTGGGGTTTTGGATTTCAAAGGGTTGCCTGCGTACGCGTGGGTTCTTCTTAGGTTCATTGACATTGTGAGAGATGTGAGTGTTGTTCGTTGGGATAAGTGTAGAGTCACAGATCTGGAGAGTGTGAGATACGAAGAAGAGAAGAGAGCAAGCATCTCTGTGTTTTTTTAACGCATTGTTTCGCGCTTGATCATGATGTTAGAGGGGAGTGGAGTGAGAAAGTGGAAACGATGATTCAGACAAGTCTTGTCCGAACACGTGTTGAGATATTTCACACACACGTGTTGAGAGGCTATGTCGCGCACATTTTAACTGTGTAGTTAGTTAGGCGCAACCGCCGGAATATTTTTAAATCAATTGATTTTTTTTAATGCTGAATAATTATGTTATCGAAAAATTTTTACTGATAATTCTATGTGTTATGAAGATTCACGCTGCATCACCCTGACAACATCCACAATGGCAATTTTTTAAAGGGAGTCATTAGGAAAATATTAATTTTATAATCAGTGAGTCTTACGAACTGTTAAAGATTATATCCTTAAAATTTTTATTTAAGAATTGATATTTACAATATTCGCGGATTCTACTATCCATGTGATGGCCCACGGTAGCTGAAATATCTTTATTTAATCCAAAATGTTATTTCTCCTTTTTCCTTAAAGACATTCTTTAAAGACTTCCCATTGTAGGTGCTCTGAGACGATATGTTTACCTTGTATGGTATTCCTCACTCTAGATCTTTTGTAAGTCTTTTTTCTTTTAATTCGTATAATTTTACTTTGGATGGTATTCCTCACTCTAGATCTTTTGTAAGTCTTTTTCTTTTAGTTCGTATAATTTATTTTCAGATTCGAAACCACACCTATCTCGAAAACCTAGACCTCCTAATGTTAAAACATTAATGAATCTATCGAACCAACAAAGATTTTCACTAAGTTAATTGATTAATATTATCTTTTTTACAAACTAAACCCCAGATATTAAAATATACTTTGAAGGTTTAATTATGGTTCTAGTTAAAATAAACTCGACATAGTTTTGAAGAAACAAAACCTTAACAGACATGATTTATTTTTTTTGTTAAATATCCGTTCAACCACCAGCAACAAACACAACTGAGTCTACCCAATGGTCCGGTGACGGCGTTCAGACGTGCCAAACGACAAGCTTTACTACTAGAGGACTTAAGTCTTACATAAATATCCCAAATGTAGCATAAAAATCCCAAAGATCCCAATCGAAATCAATGAAAAATCTCACGAGTTTTTGTCATCAGAAGGTGATAATCATTGAAAAGCCTTTTTCAACCTTCGAGGCCGAGGGTGGATGTCAACCATGCACACAAATCCTCCGTCTCCTGTGGGATAGTGTAGTGACCAAGTCCACTGTAAGCTTTGAAGGTTGTCTTCTTAAACCCGTGTGATAACAAGGCCTGTGAAGATTTCTCCCCAAACTTGAACGGTACAACATCATCACCTGGAAACCAATGAGGTACACATGAATCAGTACAATAACAGGAAGCTGATAAAAATTTATTGAAATGTAATATGTTGCATTAACAGCAAGACGTGATAAATGCATATTAAATATACGGAGTGATGAAACATTACAGAGTTCTAAGGTAATAATGTATGAGTAGTTACCTTTTCCATGACAAACTATAATGGGTAACGATGCAGCTCGGTTCTTGATCTGCTCCTCTTCTAGTTTGCCAGTCAGTGTCCTTCGGAAAAAGAAAAAATCCATAAAAGTTCTTAAGCTAGAAGAATGTTAGGACTTGGCACAAAGAGGAGACTTACTTTGCACAAGGAAGCCACCCGCTTAAGCCAATGACTGCACTTAAATTGATAGGGTAAGGATTGCCATTTCCATATTTACCAAGGGCAAAACAAGTCGCAGAATATAGAGACGTCCCTGCACCCATGCTGAACCCTCCAACACCTAGTTTAACTGCGAGCAATCAAAAGATACCACAGGCTCATTATAATCGAACTTGAAAGATTGACCGCACTATATAAAATTTCTTATAAGAGTAGAATCAAGTTATTTCAGTGACTACATGGATGGAATTAAGAGGCAATATTTTGGAAGGAAAACTTACTGTCAGCAGGCTCATTTGCCAAGAGATTTGCAACATGTGCGGCAGTCACATCCAGTCCTTCTACATCATCAGGCCCATCTTCAGTGAGATCCACAACATCAAACCCTTCATAAATTACAGTAGCAACTCATCAAACTTTTTTTCTCACACAAAATACTCATTGTTTTTTGCATCAAGATTCCTATTATGAAGAAAGCACAATAAAAGGATTCTTTAATCTTGTGATGTGAAGCTAAACCAACCATGTGTTGGCTAATAGCCTAATACTCTTGACCACAAGCTAAGAAGAGCTTTAACAAGAGTTCAATCTATAAACACTCCAACTACTTGGTTGACTAACTTTTGTTCATCAATTGCGAATTTCAAACCAAAATTGGGGTTTGTTCGGCAAATTCATTTGCATGAACATGATTAAAATTGCAACTCTATTTAACTTCCTTTCTGTTTCAGTTAGTAATAGTTTCCGCTAGCCAGCATAAAAGAAGAATACTATGTAGCAAATAACTCACAAGCTGTGGAGGGAAAACCACCAAACAAACTTATTGGTCGAGAAGGAGCAGTCGGGCATATCCATTTGATCTACATCACAGATACGAATATGGGTAAGTACTGATAAAGATATAGTAGCTGAGCACGCTTAATTAAGGCAACTGCTGGGAGATCATATAAAGCTTATAACTCACATTTGGAAGGGGAAGGGTCTCCAACATCTGGGACCAGCTGCAGGCAGGACAAACAAAAAAAAAAAAACAGACTTAAGGTCATGAAAACTAGCATAAGTAGTTCAATTATTTTTCTCAGCTGATTGTGAAGCGATATTGCATAAAAACACCAAACTCTTAGAAGAAAACTAAGATACAACGACAAGGGGGTAAACTTGAATACTTAGCATAAGTTAGACTCATTACTGAAAAAACATTAGAGTATAGGATACATCCACCATTCAAAAAAAAGGGCCGGAGATCTAGAGTGGAAACCGTAATATGAAAGCCATGAACAATAAACTATTATACTAACTGAAAAACCAACGTCAGAGACGTAAAAGAAGTACCTGGAACCATTGTCGCCAAGGCCATGTAGCCAGACAATAGTAGCTTGGTGTTTCCCTTTGGGCCTAACCACATGAGTTTTCCCAAACTCAACCGCTCTTCTCATGCCTGAAATAATGTTGCAACAGAGAGTTATTTTCCCTCTCTTATTCACTCACTCAATACCAAATCAAGACGCAGGAAAAAAAAATGAAAGGAAGACACTAACTTGAACCAACTGCAGCAGCACCAGAGAGACTCATTGTAGATGACAAGCAATGCTGAGAAGAAGCACTTAAGGGAAAAAAAAAAAACTCTGCAGGGGAAAGGAACACAACAATTAGTTTTACACACGAGCACGACATTGTTCGCATCAAAACACAAATACCACATTGTTTCAAAACAAACATCAAAAGAGATATAAACCTTTAGAACTTCAAAACAGAGACAAGAAGAAAAGAACTTTAACAAAACAGAAAAAACATATAAAAAGACATTAATTTTATCCCTTTGTTTCAAATATCTAAATAAATTCAGAAAAGGAAGCGAAAACTTGTAAATAAAAAAGATTCATCAGATTATAGAGTCCGTTCGGACACTGCGCCATAAAAAAGACATCGGAACGAGATACTTATTAGGTCTCGATTGGTCGACAACAAAAAAAACAAAAAAAAAAACAAAATTGGTGTTGTCTTTACAGACAAAACAGAAACTGTAAAAAAGATTAAGACCATAAGAGAAAGAGATTAGTGAAACAGACAGGACAGACCTAGAAACAGATCTTACCTGAGAGAGAGTAGCTCGGCAAGCTTAATCGACGGAGAAGTAGCTAATCCATAAAAACACCTTATAAAAGCTTTTTTGATGGGCTTGCACTTTATTTTTCCTTAGCGCGCCCCATTATTATTAATTCTTTTCACTTTTAACCCCGAGACTTTTGTTTTATCAGTCTTTACCCTAATAATTGAATTTGGGAGTTCCCGGTTTATATTTGAACCAATAAAATTCGGTTAAGCTTTTATGAGTCTTTTTTTTTTTGGTCAAAAGCTTTTAAGAGTCTATATTCAATTTTTTTGTTTTTTTTTTTGTTCACAGAGTCTATATTCAATGGTTTTGTACTATTTGTGTATGTTCGTGTCTACAGTATTTAGTTATTTACCTACCATTCAAAAGTCCAAACAAACAATGCAGTATTTTGTTCAATCTTGGTTATAAATTGTGTTGATTACATATTAATTTTTTGCTTTGAGTCAGGATCGGATCATAAAATTTAAAAGCCTTGAATATTTAGTAAAAAATTAATTAAAAAAATCATAAATTGGATATCTATGTCTACGTATATAATCTTCAAAAAACAAATTTAGGAGTCAAGATTTTGAGTTGCATTTACGTGTGTTTGGACTCTCGTCTAATGTTAAATGTTTCATCTAATACTAATAAAGTTTGTCAGGCTAAAAAAAAAGTTTGTCAGGCTGCTTGATTATCATGTGTGTTAGATATGGTTTATTCCCTATTAGCTTAATTATTATTCACTCTGTTTTATATTAGTTGTCATTTTAAATTTGGACACACAAATTAAAAAAGGGAAATTGCTAAAACTAGCACTTTGATGATACCATATTTCACTTTTGCATTAATCAACTTTACACTCAAAATTTTGATAAGAAAAAGACTATAGTACCCTTAGTTAATTAAACCTAAATCTACCTCCTTCTCTTTCCCACGGTTTCTTCTCGACGACAAGGCGAGAGAGACGTGTCGTAGATCTTCACGGAGCCGTCGCCGATTGCGGCGATGAGTACGGAGTCTCCGTTGGCTTAGGGCGGTGGTGGTGGAGGGGGATGGGATGCTTGGGGAGATAAAATCAATCGGAAAATGATTTTAGGGGAGGAGGAGGAGGAGGAAGTGGTGGTGTAAGGGGGAAGTCGAGGTCGTTAGAAGATGTTTACACGACGTCGCAGCTGGAGGCTGCGGGGAAGGAGAGTTTCTTTGAGAGGAGGATGGCGGAGAATGAGTCTAAGCCTGAGGTGTATAGAAACTCTCAGGTGTGTAGTTTAGTTTAGAACTTGACTATTCGCTTTTTTCGGTTTTGCGATTCTTTTGGCTCAGTGTTTTGATCTACTTGAAACAGAATCAAACAACATCTAGTGTCGTGAATGCAAAACGTGACACTACTTCAAAAGGTAGTCGCTTTTCTTTTGAACTTGCAATTTAATGTATTTTGAAAATTTCCATCTCTGCTTCCATGTTATCGCTGATGCAGGTGGTAGTCATCAGAAAGTTGAGACTCCTGAAAAGCTATACAGAAGGGTAATTACTAGTTTATTTACCTTAAGCTTACAATCTTGATGCATCTTACTTTTTTTTGTGGAAGTATATGGGTGAAGTGAACATATTTTTACATGTGGTTTGACGCTTGTTGTTGGTCAGAGGAAAGTTGCAGGGTTTTCTGAGAAAAATCAGAGACGACACTAAGGTGGAATATTGAGATACAAGTCAGTGAAGTGGTTTTCAGTGAGTTCTATAAAGAAGAAGCTGAAGGAGACGAGTGCAAGTGATGCAAGGCTGTTTCATGGTTGCTCACTTCAAAGAGTTGGCGGTGCTGTGTATCTAGAGTGATACATAACTCATCTCATTGATGGTGTTTGTAACGGGAAAGAGACCTAGAGAAGATGAAAATGCAGTAGATGAACCTGCTTGTGGTAGACATACATCAAATAGTTATTTTGAAGATGTCTTATTTGCATCAAGAGAAGAGAAGATTATGTAAGTATCTTCTTGGTCATTACTTACAAGTTAGTGAAGTGATAATTCATAAATTTATGAAG